CAATAGTTATAATGAGTACTATCAAATAAAGGAGAACGAATAATTGATCGTTAGTTGACCGAATAATTGACTTTGACAATAATTTTGACTAATTTTAAATGGTTAAAATGGCAACTTTAAATTTTTTTAATAATGAAATAACTAAAATCAAATAATTAAAATTAAAAACCAAAAAATCAACTTCATCTTCTCCATCTACACCCACACCCCACCCCAAAACCATCATCACCACTGACATCTCCTCCACCGTAATCAATAACTACACATCTACTCACCACCAACCAAGCGAATGAATTCTACTTTCTGAAATCAATTTTATAAATTAAAAGTAGTTTTCTGCACAAATGGCGACCACATGCTTGGTTGGTGTTGACTTTACTTTTGTACTGTATTATGAGCAATGAACAAAATCCATAAAGATGAAGACTCAAGAAGTAAATGTCTGGTCCTCCTTGCTTGATTCCCTTTACTGTGAAGAAGAAAAATAGAGAGAATTTGAATAAGGGAGTGAAAAATTCAACTTTAAAGGTGGAAATCTGTCATATTTTCCTAATTTGTTAACATAACAAGCTTTTTTTTTTTTTTTTTGAAGATGAAGATCTGAACTCTTTTTTCTGCAAAGAAAATGATACATTTGTCGATGGAACATGCTCTTCTTTCTCTGTAGGCACGCACAGATGCAGTTGAATGGATCTTGAAAGTTAAATTTTTTTATGGATTTTCAATGTTGACTGTCCTGCTTGTAGTAAATTATCTTGACATGCAACATCCATTTTCAGAAAGAGAAGCCATTGATGATCTAACTTGTAGCAGTGGTGGTGATGGTTTGGGGTGGGGGGGTGGGGGGGTGGGGGGTTTTTAATTTTAATTATTTGATTTTAGTTATTTTATTATAAAAATTTAAAGTTACCATTTTAACATTTTAAAATTAGTTAATATTATTGTCAAAGTCAATTATTTGGTCAACTAACGATCAAACTAACATAAATCATCAATTTGAATTTCAACAGCGACATTTTGAAAATGTATGATATCGTGGATGATACAAATAAAATCAAATTAAAAGTTTGGACAAAATCTGCAAAAGAATTTTATAAATTTGATATTTTTGAATTTGTATTCTTAAAAATAAAGAATTCTATTGCTTTTGTTTTGTTATATCCTTTTCTCTTTCTAGTATATATCACTCATTTTTCTTTTTAATGTTTTATTTTCCAATGCTACATATATAAACGCAGAAAGCCAATCCCAGTTCTATTTTCCTCCCGTTTGCCTAAAAATTACGTTACCTAATTGAAATCTCACTCGCTTGATCTCCGATTGTACAATTGCACACTTCTCTTCGGTGAGGTAAAGATTTTCTGAATTCTTTGATTCCGTCTTCCCCGATTTTGCTGTAATTTTGAGGGTAATATTTTGAAGGATTCTGTGGGTAGTTCTTCGGATTTTTAATCAGATCTGGCGGTTTTTGATTAGCGGACTGAGAATTACTGGCTTTGATGTGTTTTTTTGTAACGTAATGGTGAATTTAGGTTGAATTTTGGAATACAAGGGGTTCTAACGTAGTTGATGTATAAAAATGGAGGGGACTCTGGGATCAGGAGGTGTGTTAAAGAAGAAAAGTTCATCAGGGTGTTTAATTATTAAAAAGAAAAGTGAAAATAACAATTTAGGTGGATTGGTGGGTTTGAATTATAGTAAGGAAAAAAAGAGGCCAAGATTAGTTGTTAGTGATTCGGGTTCGAGTGATGAGAACCAGTCATTAGAATTTATGAGAAGAAAAGTGAATGAAAAGAAATTTCGGAATAGTACGTTGGAGGGTAGGAGGAGTGGGCTGGAAGACAGGGAGTATTATAGGAAAAATGGTGGGATGGAGAGTAGTAGTGAGAGGAAAAGAAATAGGTTAGATTTGTTTGAGTTTGATGAGTATGATGAGTACGAAGAGCTTGATGGGAAGAAGATGAGGAATGAGTATGTTCAAGACAGGTTTAAGATGGTTGGGCGAAGTAGTGGTGGGGATTTGAAGGAAGTTGGGGGAGGGTCGTCAAGCCGGAATGTGATGGTGGATAAACGGAGTCATGGTTCATATTTTGGCAGTTCTATTTCTGCGAAGAGTAAAGGGGTTGAGTATAGTGGTGGGAGGAGTAAGGGGCTTAAGTTGGACGAGGACGAAGGACATATGCCAATTTCATCATTAAGGTCAAAGTATCAGGGGGTGGCGGATGAGCCAATTAGGTTGCAGGGGAAGAATGGGGTATTGAAGGTTATGGTGAATAAGAAGAAAAAGATGGATTTGCCATCTCAGCATAAGAGTTATGAACCTCATGAAGTTGAAGTAAGAAAGGATTCTAGGTCTGGAAATGTAGTCGAGAAGGATTTATTGGGAAGATCATTTCATTTGACTTCAAAACAACATAAAAATGGTTTATTTGTTGACAAAGAGAAAAGGGTTGAGAAGGAGAAATTGGACCTGCAACTGGAAAATGCAAAACCATTTATGAGCAAAGGCAAAAAAGATAGAGATTCACAGGTTGATGAGATTGATACATTGGTCGAACTGGAGCGACCAGATCCGCATGCTGGAAGCTCAAAGAAGATGGTGAAGAAGAAGGAAGAAAGAACTCACCCTCCCGAAAAAGGCACACCATCTAAAGGGAAAGAAGAGAAAGTGAAGCGTGGTGGGAGCACAGAAAAGCAAATGCTGCGTGAGAAGATAAGGGAAATGCTAGTTGATTCTGGCTGGACAATTGATTATAGACCTCGGCGAAACAGAGACTACCTAGATGCTGTGTACATTAACCCGAGTGGAACAGCCTACTGGTCAATAATTAAGGCTTATGATGCGCTCAAGAAACAGTTGGACGAAGACAATGGGAAAAGTAAATCTGATGTTGGCTCTTCCTTGTTTGCTCCTTTATCTGAAGATCTAATAAATAAGCTTACAAGACAAACTAAAAAGAAGATTGAGAAAGAAATGAAAAGGAAGAGAAAAGAAGATCGCACTAATAAGAGTGCTAAAAAATCTGCCGTGAAAGAGATTGCAGAGAGCTCAGACAGTGATCAGAATGATGAAGTGGAAGAAGAGAAGGGGGATGATTCATGTGATGATTTACCCAAAAGGAAGCCCAAGAAAGACAGATTTGAAAAAAATTCCAACAAAACAAATTGTAAAGCTATACAAGGTAGAACAAGTAAGATAATCGGGAGATGCACTCTGCTTGTTCGCAGCTCTAACAGAGGACAAAACTCGGAATCTGATGGTTATGTTACATATACTGGAAAAAGAACTGTGTTGGCATGGTTGATTGACTCTGGTATTGCACAGTTAAGTGAAAAGGTACAGTATATGAACCGTAGACGCACACGTGTAATGTTAGAAGGCTGGATCACGAGGGATGGGATCCACTGCGGTTGCTGTAGTAAAATCCTTACAGTTTCAAAATTCGAGCTCCATGCTGGCAGCAAGTTGCGTCAACCATTTCAGAACATACTTTTAGAGTCTGGGGCCTCACTTTTGCAGTGCCAAATAGATGCCTGGAATAGGCAAGAGGAGTCTGTGCGCAAAGATTTCCACATTGTAGATGTTGATGGTGATGATCCAGATGATGATACATGTGGTCTTTGTGGTGATGGAGGGGATTTGATCTGTTGTGATAGTTGTCCATCAACTTTCCACCAGAGCTGTTTGGGAATACAGGTTTGTTTTAGATAGCTCATGTACGACCTTTGTGGATTTTTTTTTTCCCATGTTTGTTACATCATTAACATGGAATTAGTTTGAGTCTTATTTGTTTATTCTATTGTAATGCCCAATTTATCGTTAGTTACACGATTCATCTTGATTTATAAAAGAATATTATTTCTGTACATGTTACTTCATATATTAAATGTGTATCAAAGGCAATTGCGAGGAACACATCCATGTTACTTGACGTCTATTCCCGTGGATCTTTTCACCCCAGAACGTACTAAGCTGCACATGCACGGAATTGTAACTGTTGTTCATGCATGCAAAATACTGCAGCTCTGGTTGTCTGCTCTTTGGCATTTTGCTATTCCCGAAGTAATATAATATCTGCTGTTACTTTAGTGAATACTTTACTTGAAGATATTGTTGGAGCCCTATCTTTTTTCAAGGGGAGGAGGAGGGGACAGCAGGGGTATGGGAAACTATGCCCTTGTTTGAGCCCCGTTTTTGGGAAAAAATGTGTTTTGGAATAGTGATTTTTTTTTTTTGGAGAATGTGTGGTTAAAAAAAGTTTTCGATTTACGTGTAAAATTATTTTATTGGAGAATGTGTAGCTGAAAATGAATTATGAAAAAAATGAGTTTTTGGAAAAATGGGGCTCAAACAAAGGCTATAATTATGATAATTTTTTTGGAAAAGCAGATTTTATCAGCTATAGGATATATAATTAGACCCATGAAACTTGTACACTTTTTGCATGGTTGCCTGCGACTTACATTTTTCATATAGTTCACGTACTACATCTTTTCTCTCACTCCCTGCAGGCGCTCCCCCCAGGTGATTGGCACTGCCCCAAGTGTACATGCAAATTTTGTGGGGATGTTAGTGGAAATGTTGCTGAAGAAAATGACGGGACTGTCGAGCTTATCAGATGCATCCTATGTGAAAAGAAATGTAATTATCCATTTATTTTTGAAGCTTTCTATGTGTGGCTACATCCCACCTTTTCCTCTGTTTTTTGGGTTTTGAAGCAAGTCAATTGAACTTACTTTTTGTGTTTTTTAGCTCACAAATCATGCAGTGAGCTGGTGGATGCTGTGCCTGTGAGTTCACATGGTGAATCTCATTCTTTTTGTGGGGATAAGTGCCAAAAGGTATAAGCTTTTGTTTCCTTCTTTGGATTAATGCAGAGAAGAATTTGGGTATTACTAGTGTTATCTCATTCTTTTTGTGGGGATAAGTGCCAATAGGTATAAGCTTTTGTTTCCTTCTTTGGATTAATGCAGAGAAGAATTTGGGTATTACTAGTGTTATTTACTTTCTGGTAATTGTCAATTACATCTTGGCTACAGTCATCTAACTGGTTGTTTCTCCTGCTTTTTGGGTGGGATCCTTGTAGAAGTGGGATTATCTCGTTTAATTCGTGTCCTGAAAGCCATTGTGGCCTAGATGAACAATTAAAAATCATGTCTTAAAATATACGAAAGGAAAGTGATTAGGGAATTGTTGTCCTCTCTTGTCAATATCTCAAAAAAATTCCTTGCTTGTTTTTCTAAATACGCTTGTTGTGAGATGTAGTGTCTGAGCATGCTTTCATCATGTGCTGAGGGTGAATAGGGGGACCTTGTGCATTTTGACATTCTGCTGAAGGCCCACATTTCACGGTCCAATAAAGCGAATAGATGAAAGAAGTAAATGAATTGAAAGGGAAAAAATCACAAATAGAAGAAAACATAGTAGTTAATATTTTCTTTTTACCACGTCTTTTGATGGAAGCACCTGCTGATTTTTTTTATTGATTTCACAAAAACATGTGTACAATTGACTGTATAGTAATTAATAATCTTGGAATTTGAGAAGTTTATTATTTTTTCTGATTTATCACATGCTTTCAATTCTCTATTTATAATTCTCATCAGCAAATCTGTAAAGTAAAGAACACAAAAAAAATAAAAATTATGCCTTGAAAATTTTTAACTTCTTCTCGAACTAAAAAATGAAAAAAAAAAAATCTTATTCCTACCAAATAAGAGGAAAAGCTTATTTAAATAATTTGTTTATTTCTTTGTTCACGAACCATAAGTATGAAAGTCGTCCTATAGAAAAAGATGAATAAATGAGCAAAAGAGATATTCATATCGATAGCAACCTATTTTATTGATTTGAAAGGAACATCAATTAGATTGAGTCATGTGTGAACATGTTTTTCTAGTTTTGGAACTAACAAAAGGAATTGGGATACTGCACTCGGTTGCATGTGAATTTGTTATTCATTCATTATTGAATTCATCATTAGTAATATGAATGCATTACATATTTATCAGTGTACATTTAATTCCTTCCAAAATTCTAAGACTAACATAAAAGATTTTCTTGAAGCGATAGTAAATATTGTGTATTAACATTTTTAAATTTTTAGTAACAGCTTTGCTAAACCAGCTGTAAGTGTCTTAAAATAAAAGGATTGGTATAGGTATTTGACAAGATGAAATTTAAGAGTCTCTTGTCTATCTCAAAGGTTTTGGATGTCAACTAATGAGTTGTGTTTCAATACTTGTTTGCTCCCTACAACATACCCGCTAATTACTGAAAAACTTCAGTTATGAATATGTGAAGTTTGATAAGAAAATTCTATTTCGACAGTTGATTTAAATTTTAGATTTTCCCACTTTTGGCGCTTTCATAAGTTTGATTTTTGCCAACTCTTATCAAGCTCTAAGCCAGGAGGTATATTGATATCTTACGGATCCCTTTACTGCAAAGCATCACCATTAGCTCTCTTGTTTTCTCCCTTGACTGCTTACTGGCACTGATAGTAAAATATACATCAGTCATTAAAATTAAGTTCTGTACGTGTGTTATAGAACACAGTGATTTCCTGTAGATTTCAAATTTAGTTGTCAAAGTATGGTTTCCTCCTTATTGGATCTTTTTTAGCTTCAGAAGAAACTTTTCTCACATTCTTTTGTTTTGTTAGCTCTATGATCATTTGCAGAAGATTGTTGGAATCAAACATGAACTGGAAGCAGGATTTTCTTGGTCTCTTATTCAGCGAACAGATGTTTCTGATACCTTGCACCGTGGATTTCCTCAAAGGGTGGAATGCAATTCTAAGCTAGCTGTCGCGTTATCGATTATGGATGAGTGTTTTTTGCCCATCATTGACAGGAGGAGTGGCATCAATATAATTCGTAATGTTGTCTATAGTTGTGGGTAAGCAGATACTGACCACACTAGAGCAGATACTTCTTAATCATAATGTGATTTGGGATTAAAAAATTCCATTTGCTCTGTTTAGTTTTACACCTAGATTTTAGTTTTCTATTGTCGAAGAAATCTTTTCTTCTGGTTTTTATGCAAATCAAGCATGTATTTCCAGTATCTGTGAAGCCATCATCTTGTGGATGTGATTCTTAGAATTGTACCGTGTTTGAGCATGAAAGGCAAGCAATCGTATTTTTCTCCTTTTACTTTATATTTGGGGATGTGCATATAACTGCATAGTTTTGCTAATATACATAAATATTACAATATTTTGTATTCTCTGTCTTCTAATATTTGTTGATCATATATCAATAACTCAGTTACTTCTTGGTGTTCAATTTTTGTCATTTTCTACTCTTGCTTTTTACGCGTGATGACTTCCCCTATATTCTTGTGTTCGTAAGCATATATCGGTCTTCTAGAATAAGTCTACTCATGATTGTGTGTCTCCTCTTTTAGATCAAACTTTAATCGTATGGATTTTCATGGCTTCTATACGGCAATTTTGGAGCGAGGTGATGAAATAGTTTCCGCTGCATCTGTCAGGTTCGTGACTTTAACAACTAACATAAATGATGGCCATGGTTTAATCAGTTTTCTGCGGCAGTGAGATTCAAGATGCATTCTGGATTTGTTAATCTCTAATGTCAATCAAATGATATTACATCATATCCTCTTCCAGCTTTTTGCTTTTGGAGTGTATGAAATAAAGGGTTCTGTCTATAGCTCAATATTCCTGAAGCGGAAATACTAGATAAATTATTCAGACTAAGATGAATAACATTTTTGATAACTTGTTGCAGACATAACTTCAAAACATAACTTCAAAAATCTTCTTGGCATTGCTTTCTTTGATAATTTTCATGCCATACACGGTCTTTCAGATTTCATTTTTTGAATGCATATTTTGCAGCTGATGGATTAATGAAATGGTTAAAACCAACCTTCCTTGTGTAGATAATGATAAAAAATGCTATCATGAGTATTTGGATTATTTTTTCTTGTCTCATGTTAAATGGCTCGTCACACCCGGATGCAAAATGTCTAGGATAGTCACACAGGAAAGATATTAGTTCAGCTAGTGAGGTGGGGAAGTTTAGAGAATGTTCTCAATCATTGGATTAAGTTAAAATCCACCATCCATTTGGAGAGGTGGAGGGTATAGGGACGAAGGAAGCATTATTTCCTCATAAATGTCTAGGATAGCCACACAGGAAAGATATTAATTCAGCTAGGTAGGTGGGGAAGTTTAGAGAATGTTCTCAATCATTGGATAAGTTAAAATCCACCATCCATTCGGAGAGGTGGAGGATATAGGGACAAAGGAGCATCAATTAGAAAAAAACTGCAAAAATGATGGATTGTGAAAAAATCCGGGACTGCAATACAAGTACCCATTTAAAACATGCCACTTCTGTGCCTTAGAGTGGCAATCTGCACAAACATACGACTACCAAACGCTTCCTCTATTTGTAGGCTGACTATCTAGGCCTCAAGGTGCAATTAGCAGAGCTAAGTGGCTCAAGTTCATGACAAGCTATTGAATTTGTGACCTAGACTTCATAAAGAAATGAGAAGAACGGTGCTAACTTTTAAAAGAAAAAGAGTTGATTTACAACATGTTTCTTCCTAAAGTTATATATTTTTCAAATCATCAACCTTAGTTATGTTCAATGGGAAATTTGACATTTTCTGGATTTATTTCGTCTAATTCTACCTTTTTCATATCTGGTTCTTGTCATCTATTTGCACATCCATGGATTTCATGTAGGATGAATTTCTTTGTTACTTGTATATTTTGTCTTCACCATTGGGTAAGTTAATAATTATTTGTTTAGATGTGCTTTGTTGGGTTTTCTCATTTCTAATCTTGTCAATGTAGATTGTTTACTGTTGGTATGGTTGCTTGTTGAAGTTTATTGACCTACAAGAGAAATAATTTTGATTACTGTAAATATCATTTATCTAATTAGGATACATGGGAACTGTCTTGCTGAGATGCCATTTATTGGGACTCGCGAGATCTATAGGCGCCAAGGAATGTGCCGGCGGCTTTTGTCTGCTATTGAATCGGTAAGAATGGGCATCATGTTACTACCTTGTCAAATATGCATCAGTTTATGCTTTCTGGATGACTGTTATGCCCAAGCCCCAAGCATCACTTCTTGCTTTCTGGTCACTATCATCTATTAACTCTTGAACGTTACAGTGTGTCTGAAGTTTTAATACTGTTTATTTTATCATAAACAGTTAATTTATCTGCTGTAAAGTCCTGAAATCTCTTCTTTTTGGCAATGGAAGTCCTTTTTTCCATATTACGTTGATTTGGACGAGTGATTAACTTACAACTGCTGTAACTCCAGACCCTGTGCTCTCTTAAAGTCGAGAAATTGATTATCCCTGCCATATCAGAGCATATGAGCACATGGACTATAGTGTTTGGTTTCCATCAACTTGAGGACGCACACAAGAAAGAAATGAAGTCCCTGAATATGTTGGTCTTTCCTGGGACAGATATGTTGCAGAAACAGTTAATGAAGCGAGAAATTTCAGATGGTAACATGATTGTTTTACCCTGTTCTATGAGCACCTTTTTCATTCTTATATTGAACAAAAAGAAGTTTGAACCATTATACTAGACTTGAAATTTGTGTCTTTTTTCTGTTATGCCCTTGTTTGGCCCCCAATATAATGAGATTTTTGGAAATAATGTATTTTGGAATAGTAATTTTTGGGGGAATGTGTGGTTAAAAAAGAAGGAAAAGTTTTTGATTTACATGTAATATTATTTTATTGAAAAATGTGTCGTTAAAAATAAGAGAGAAAAATGTATTAAAATTTTAATGGGGGCCAAACGGGGGCTAGATCTATTGTGCTATCTTTACCTCTGAATCTATCTGTTGTGTGACCTTTCCACATTTTCTGGAGTAGGTATTGAGGATGTTAAATCCGAAGAGAATCAACCTCAGTTGAATGTTTCGGTAGACAAATCTGGGTTGTGTGAAGAGAGAAAGATCTATGAAAAAGTTGATGCCATGGATTCTGATTCCCCAGCATCAGTTATTCCTTCAAATGATAATACCGCGACTAGTGCATCAGATGCTACTCATAGATCTGACAGAAGCAAGGTAACGACTGTAATCAAGTCTGAGACGCAGGAAAAGCTAAAAGAATCCACTGCTAGCTTGAAGTGCCCATCTAACTCCACTGGAAGTGCTGACTTCTCTGAGATGGAAAATCCCTTGCTAGAACTTCCTCTTAAGGATAATTCTGAGTCTTCTGAGGCGGCTGTCATGGATCATGAGTGCAAAATAAGTTCTAAAGTTCCTTATCTGGAATCCATTGTTGATCCTTCAGGCGAAACTTCAAAAATGGCTGAGGCAGCTGCTGAAAATGAAAACCCTGTCTCTGGTTCTGGTATTTGCCGTACTGATAAATGCACCATGCAATCCAAGTTGGGATCGGATGATCACAATGTGGTTGAGAACGAAAGCAAGGTAGAAACTGCTTCAGAGGTTTATATGGAAGTAGAAATTGCTAGAATTCAGATTGATAGAAGCTTCACAGTCGAGGTTTCTGATGATGCTGCCATCCCTGAATTAAATGTAAAAGATGGTTGCATTGAAACATCTGCACAGAGTACTACAGAGAAAGTCAATGGAGAACGGAGTTCTGCTAATCGGTTTAGTGCACTTGACAGTGAAATTGAACTTCATTCATCTGTAGAACTTCCCTCTGATTCTTTAGCTGCTGCTGATGCAAAAATCACTCTCGTTAATGGTAATATATCTTCCTTACCTTTTAAGGATACCAATAACAAATATGACTTGGCGGCCTCTTGTACTGAGGAAAATGTTGAAGTTAGTGGTGTGGAACCAGCTTTTGGTTCTTCTCTTGCCATTTCTACACATGCTGCTAATGGGAATAGCATTGACAATCAAGATCCTGTGTCTGTTTTTACTATTGAAGGTAGTGAAAGTACGATGAGATTGAACCCGGACTTGAATCAGGAGTCTGTCCTTGAGGTGGGACGTGACCAAGAAAGTTATAAGAAAGTTGTCGATCCAACTGAAACTGATCATTCTAGTGAAAAAAGCAGGATGAATAATCCGCAAGAACTTGAAGAAAAAATTTCTTGTGTGAATTCTTCTTGTGAAGCCTTGGCTCGAAATGCAGCATCCAGTGAGGATTGTGCATAATCTAGCTAAGGTTCTGATAGAAACAGTCCAATTAATCTTTTACCTCACGATTTGGAAGGAAATACGAATGCGACAGTTTGGGGGAAGGCTTACAAATAAAAGAAATTTTTTCGAGCTGATGCTGATGTTCCACGTGTCTCAAACAGGTCACTGTCGTTGAGTGATATGTAATCATGTAAGAGAAATGTTGAACAGTTGCCTAAATTGTAGTGGTTAGGCAATAAATCTGTTACCTTTCATAACTCACGTGTATTGTATTTTCAGGAGACTATTATTTCATCAATTGAAACGATAATTAAACCAGCGTGTGCTGTGAGTAAAACCAGCTGATTTTGGAATATATTTTTTCATGTTCATTCTTGAACACCTTGTTCTATTCAACGCTTGATTTAGTAGAACTGAATTGTTGTACTTCTCATTTGGGATGCTAAATTCTTAAGCGTCATTTTCATAGTTTGACAAGAGCATGTTTGGATGGGCTTAAAAGTTAATTTTTTTTTTTTTTTGTGAAAACATACATACATATGGACACACTTCCACAAAAAAGTCACTTTTAAGATACATCATGCTCTTAGGGAGGATTTTACTTGAACCCAGAGCTGAGACTACCATTATAGGACGTGCAGGCAAGTTACTTTTTTTTTTTCTTTTTTTGCTGTTTTATTCCGTTCTGTTTATATATATAAATTTCCTCTTAGAAGCAAAATGATCTACTTTTAAGTTTCATCCCTGTGAATACAGATAACACTGCTCAAGCAAATTTTGAGGCCACCTTTGAAGATGCAGGGGGAGGCAATGGAGGAATACACAGGTATCATCTCTTTCCTCTGTGGCGTTATTAGCAGAGCTAAGCGACGGTCGGGATTTCAGAGGCTCAGTACAGAGGATACTGGTACCTTACCTATGCTAACCGGGTCGAGGTTGAGTATCACAGGTTGGGTTGTAATGTTGTTAATGAAGTGGCAAAGGAGTTTTTGGAGGCACCATGCAATTGGGTATTGAGTTTTAAACAGAGTGATGATGCCTAAAGCTGATGCTTGATTCTTGAATGTATCTATTGATTGTCCAATGTATTAAAAGAAGAGTAATGTTATTCACAGTGAAGACTACCGACAGTCGTCCATGCATCAAATAACAAACTGCAATGTGTGTGACGCGTAGGACGATTATTGATAGTCTTCACTACGAATATCATTACTCTTAAAAGAGTCACAACTCTAATAGACAATCATGAGTTCACTGCTACTTAGACCCCGTGATTGATAGCATTACACGAATGGTTGCCCTTTTTAGTTCATTTAATTAGGTAGATTGTACCGCATTGATTCTTAAATCATTTCTACTGAACTCGAGCAAAAAATTTCTGATTACATCGCACTTCAGCAATCAGTACATAGAAGATTGAAAAATCATCAGAAAATTTCTCACGAGGAATGAGAATTGAATACATTCTTATGAAGAAGTTGCAGATTATTCAAGTTGGGATTAGTATAGTCTCTTCTCTAAAATCAGAAAATAAGCTTCCAAAGCAGAGAGTAGCCAAAAGTCTTGCTTCGTCTTCTCAAACTCTATTACAAGCCTAAATTTCAAGAACTCCATAGCTGCTGAAACTAATCTTGCATTTTCCATTATAAACTGTACTGCATTGGCACTCCATTTATCTCGAGCATCACCCCATCTCTGTTACAAAGATGAAAAGTAAGTGTTACATGCGCATATCACCACGAGAGGGGTTTAAAAGGCCTCTATTTTAGAACGTAATCTTTTATAGGAACTCTTTCTTTCCTTTTAAGAAGTTAGTCGTTGTTCATGAGATTTCATTGTTTTTATTAAAATTTTATGTGGTTTTGCTCACTACATTTAAAATGTACAACTATCTCTACTAGAAGTTATCATTTCTATAGAAAAGATAATCGATTCCATTCATTGTGACGTCAACGATAATATGATCTTAGATAAAGAAACCCAATTTTATTTACTAAATTGGTGACCTCTTATTCTAGTTGTTTCAAGAGCATTCGCTAATTGAACCATGTCTAATATAACATTCTTTGCTCATTTATCTCTTTTGAAAAGAAGCCACAGGTCTAAAAAAAAAAATTAGATTCTGAATTACGAACAACCTTACGTGAATGGTGCAAAATGATGTCTTAACATTTAAAAATAAATGCAATCTTGAAACCAATATTCTCGATTTCATATAAGAAGAAAGTACTTAATTACATGCTTGTAAGATGATTCATTTAAGATTTAGGCTACACTTGTCTTCCTTTTCATGAAATCAAACAAATTTTGACATGAAGCTCAACGTGATGTCATGTGCTCAATTTAGACACAAAATAAGATTGGATTTGCACTTACCATGTCATTTTCCCCCAAAATCAAACCTTCTTTGAAGTTTTTTCAAGCAGAAAATCAAGTCATTTTTGAAGTTTCTGACATGAAACTCTTGCTGACCCAAATACAAGTGCTAGATTTAGACACACAGAATAGTTTGGATGAATTCGATTATTACCTATTATGTCATTTTTCCCAAAATCAAACTATTTTTGAAATTTCTGACACGAAACTCAACATAACTCGAGAAACGTAAAACAGTTTGGCGAATGCAATTTGTACCTACCGTGTCATGTTTCTAAATTCAACTTTCTAAGTTGAAACAAAGAGACTCAATGTGACTCGAAGACACATTCTCAATTTAGACACGCAAAATAGTTTAGAAACTCAATCTTTACCTACTATGTCGTTTTCCTCCATATCAAATCATCTTTGAAATTTTTAACATGAAACTTGTCGTCGATTTTTATATCCCGCAAGTGTACATATCGTAACAAATAATATAGTGGATTAATGAGTCAGGATATCGTTCCCATGAAAATTACTATCTAACAATTTGTTAAATTATTCCTAACTTTAATTTAATCGAAAACAAATAATAAGGTTTGTGATTGGTGTTTAATTTATTTTAACTAACTAAATTATCTTACGTGCACAATTTGTTGAATTTGAGTTTTAAAAGTATGAAGGTGAATGCTAGAACTTACAATTTTATCTATGGATCCCCTTTAATTCTCCGATCAAGATTCATTAGTATTGTAGTGTCTAGTCGAATTCTTCTAAAGTATTCAATTTACCCCTTTCAAATTCTCATTGAGTCTATTTAACTAATTCATTTACATATCTATATGTAAATCAATCTTAGTTAAACGAAATATTAGTACTAAGAATTCATCTAATAACCGCATAATTAATATAGATATCTCTACACGTTATACTAAATTACCAGATTTTAATATGTGGTTTAAATCTAAAACTCATCTCTCAATTCGTAATAAATTCACAAAATCATTAAATAATTGGCCAAAAAATTTAAAGCATTAAATTCATGAATAAAATAAACACATATGCACTTAAAAAAACTAGAATATTGAATAAAAGAAATAAATAGTCACACATAGATTACATTGTTCGCCCTACCTAAAAATTTAGCTACTCCTAATAATGAAAAAAATAAACAAAAAGTATAGAGTTAACATTCTGGAAAATATTTGATCATATTGCACTCTTTTTTTTTACTTCTAATTATATCAGATTGACCTATAGCATTCTTGAATCTTCATCATGAGGTCCGACACAACTTTTGAGTATTTAAACTTTAATCCCCAAACTTTGGATCTTTCATTTTTTTTTCCGCTAATTTTTGCTTCTTTCTTTCAATTCCACTTCCTTTCATCGATTTTCACCTAATAAACTAAATATATAATAAATTAAGTTATACTTTTTCAAAACAACAATTAAATATCTATATTTTTAAGTCCAAATAAGTGTATAAAATACACTTATCAAACACTACCAAACTTAAATATTTGTTTGTTCTCAAACAAAATCATAACCTAACTTAACAAACACACAAACATACAAAATATTTTGGTTAGATAACGTACCATTTTGTTTCAGGATTGGAATCATTGTGTTAAATCTATAAATAGCTTCAAGGCCACATTACCAAAATCAATATTAACTTTTTTAATGCAAAACTGATGTGTGCGCACGTGAAGTATTAAGTAAAACACTATAAATTCATGAATTGTTTTAATTCCCGACTTTTGATGGTCAAATTTTTACTTTGATTACTCGTAAGATTCACACACCCCAAAACTTATTTTTTTTTTTTTTTACTCTTTTTTCTTAGTGTGTGATCTAAAGCTAAATCTTTATACCAACTCCTCACCCTCTTTAATTTAGATGGATCTCACTAATTGTAAGTCAATACTTTAACAAAAAAGGATTCTTCAAATTTTGATTACTTCAACCTCCATGACTCAATTGGGCTAATAATCCATTGTCAAATATCTAACTTTCTTAAATAAGTGTTTGAAACTTAATCAAGACATGTAGTACGTAAATACATAATAATAATAATTATTATTTTCTTATCTTATGTGCATATTTCTCTCTATTAAGTTTTTTAAATGATAATTGTAGCAAGTTTTAGGCTGACTCCCAAGTCAAATGATCATAGGGCACCAGGTTTTTAGATACCCTCGTAGGCTTAATCACTCAAGTTATAAATGCTACAAAGAAATGTTTCACAATGAGATATCTTTCTTTTTTCTCTCTGTACATTTTTTTCCTTTTTTTGCCATTATTAGCGTAATGTCCCTCGTTAAACACTCATTTTTTAAAAATTGACCCAACTTAAGATTTTCATCTAATTTTCATCATATTGGCACTGACAATTCACACAAAAATTTACACACATGGAATTCTCATTCATATCCATATCTCCCAACAACAGTAAAATCATCCACAAACTAATCCAAATTTGGTTGAAAGATGTATATTGTAGTAATTTTTGAGTTTAACATCTAACTTCTACTATTTCAACCTATCAAAGATATGAATCAACCCATTACTTTATGACGCTAAACTTAATTCATATGTGCAATTAGTATCAAGTTTTACATGGATAAGAATCAATTATTTCAAGTATGTAACATATCCATGGTTCACCAATTAATACATAATTCCAAATACATTCATCGGCAAAGCTACCTAACCCACACAAGTGCACAATAAACAAAAAGATCTTTTTTGTTTTATTTTATTTTATTTTATTTTATTTTGTATTTTAATAAAGCAACAAACACACAATCACACACAAAAACTAAAAAATCAATATTGTTCCACCCCGAAACTTAATGTTGACATTGTCCTCAATGTCTTAAAAGTTTAGTGTAGCACATATTCCAATGGTGGGGAAGAGAGAAAGAAGGTACTCCCCAAATTTTATGTCTGACATTTGAGGTGGCTTGTTGGATCAGTTCATTCCATTCTTTTCTAAGATATCTCCTACTTGATAGCGATGTATATTTTAAAAATGAAAGTAGACAAATGTAAGAGTTCAGAGACAGTGTAAAATCAATAATGTGGCATGTATGATAACCAATTTTTTTTACATCCCTGGAGCTTTGAAAAATGTACTACATATATTTCCTACTGTTTTGACTCAATATATGATTTTCTTTTTATATGCTTAATATCAATATGATGACCATCTTTATTGAAACAAAAATATGCCTAAAACTAATGCACCTTAATAGACTATATGCAATGTAATTACAGAAAACATAATAAATAAAGTATAAGAAATTGAGTTGCCTCTCAATAAGAGCTTAATTTAAAATCTTTAGTGGACTTTAGCGTAAGTGCTTCATGGCACTTTGAATATGGCTTTGGAGGTCTTACTTAACTCGCTCAATTTGAATTTGTTCCATATTTCATACGTCCTTCAAAATCGTACTTTGGACCTTACTTTTTAAGTTCTTGTCTGAAAATGAATTCTCCAAAGAGCATGTCACCTTCATTTAGGTCGAGATCAATTATTGTGAATTTTGGACCTCTTGTTTCTTTTCATTCCCTGTTAATGGAGCAAAGAGAAACAACTCAATTGAAAAAAAAAAAAAGAAAAAAAAAATCAAACAAAAGCAAGAAATAATTAAAACCAATACTTCTAAAAATAGTCCCTAACAATGGCGCCAAAAAACTTGTTGATTTTTATACTCTACAAGTGTACGAATCATAACAAGTAATATAATAAATCAATGAATTCGGATATCGTTCCCACGATGACTATTATCTAACAATTGGTTAAATTATTTATATCTTTAATTTAATTGAAAACAAATAATAAGGTTTGTGATTGATGTCTAAATTATTCTAACTAAACTAAATTATCTAACGTGCACAATTTATCAAATTTGGGTTTTAAAAGTGTGAATGTGGATGCTATGACTTACCATTTTACTTATGGATCCCCTTTAATTCATCAATCAAGATTTATTACTATTGTAGTGTTCGGTCGAATTCTTCTAAAGTATTCAGTTTACCCCACTCGAGTTCTCATTGAGTCTATTTAACTAATTCAATTCCATATCTATATGTAAATTAATCTTATTTAAACGAAATATTAGTTATATGAATTTATCTAATAACCACAATAATTAATATAAATATCTCTACACGTTATACTAAATTATCGAATTTTAATATGTGGTCTGAATCTAATTAGATTCACAAAATTATTGAATAATTGACCAAAAAATTCAAAGTATTAAAATCATGAATAAAATCAATACATATGCATATAAAGAATTGGAATTTTGAGTAAAAAAAAAAAGAGTCACACATAGATTACATTGTTCGCCCTATCTCTGAATTTAGCTACTCATAATAATGAAAGAAAAAAAAAGTATAGAGTTCATAACAATATTTTAAAATCTTGATCATGAAAATAATTGAATCTTACATAAAGAATCTTCTTCAACATAAAAAGTTTTTTGAATCCTAATTCTTAATCTTTGATCTTGATGATTATGTGTTTTTCTCTCCCCCAAGTTGTGCGAAACTCTCTCAAAAGTGTCAAAAACTTGTATTTATAATTCTTCCCACGTTTATGTTGAATGTAGGTTTTTATTAGGGGTGGGCGCGGGTCGGTTCGGTTCAGTTCGATTTTTTTCGGTTCCAAAAATTTTTGGTTCTTTAGTAAATGGAACCGTCGGTTCCAAATATAATTTTGGAACCGTTCGGGTTCGGTTCGGTTCTGTTCGGTTCCGTACTATAATTAAATTTTTTAATATTTAAAATAATACTACATAAATACACCTGGAAGTAAATACTAATATTAGCCCCTGTTTGGAGGGCATTTTTTTCTCATTTCTAGAAATTTTCTTACCGTTAGACATGGGGCCAATCGAAATATTTGACCAACTTGTGAGAGGGAGGGGCCCACTAATTTGAAAAAAATAATTCTTCATTTTTTCTTCACAAGAATGCTGGCCAAACATGGGCTTAATAACAAGAAGTAGATACAAATATAAAGTTCGATCTTAGCAACTAAACCCTAAACCCAACCATGAATGGCTAAAATATCAACTAAAGCCTAGCCCAAGACTGAAATCAAACACAATCTAAACTAAGTCCAATAGGAAATAAAAACAAAACTACAAACTAGCCCAAAATTAAACCCGTGTTAGGTTAAGGAATATATATATATATCAAATAGTTAAAACAAAAAATTGTTAATTTGTTTAGAAAAAATAAAATAAATTGATTTATCAAAAAAAATTCGGTTCTTATTCGGTTCTCCGGTTCTAGGTCTAGAACCGAGAACCGAACCAAAATTTTTCGGTTCTTCGGTTCTCGGTTTTTCGGGTTTTTAAGTTAAGAAAACCCGTTCGGTTCGGTTCGGGTTCGGTTCGATTCGGTTCGGACATTTTGCCCAACCCTAATTTTTATGGATTTCAAAACGAACCTAAAATGTGCCCTAAATACGCTCAGGCGGTGCCTCGGCGCTGCAACTCTATATTGTGTGATTTGCATGCCGCCATGGTTCGGATTAAATCTGCATCGCACATCCGTAGCGTTACCTTTCGGGTGAAAATCTACATTGCAATTCTTTTAGTATTTTTATCATAACTTTCTCTCCCAATATCCGATTGAGACGATTCAAATTGGGTTGTAAAGATAACTTAAATGCTATACCTATACTAGAAATAGTTTTTTTTTTTTTTCCAATTCAAACGTTTACTAGGTAAAAAATGAGTTTTAATCTTGAGCTAAAAATATGAAACATACTTGTAAGGTTGAAAATTGATTTGTGTCCATATTTTGATCATATTTCACTCATTTTTTTTATTTCTAATTGCATTCAACTGACCCCTAGCATTCTCGGATCTTTATCGTGAGATCCGACACAGTTTTTGAGTATTTACGCTTAATCCGCAAACTTTGGATCTTGCATTTTTTCACCAATTGTCGCTTCTTTCTTTCAATTCCATTTCATCCAATTTCATCTAATAAACAAAATATACAATACATTAGGTTATAATCATTTAAAAAAACTATTCAATGTCTATATTTTTAGATCCAAATAAGTGTATAAAATACACTTATCAAAACCTAGATATGACTCAGAGCCAAGCAAAATGGTATTCGATTTGCACGTACGTCAGTATTTTTTCTGAGCTCGAACTTCTATATTTAAACGGGAAAACATATTTGACTAGGCTATTTAATCGATCGTGACTTGAAACCCGCACAGCAACCCCCTAAACTATTATCGACTGTGACTTAAAACCCGCACCGCAACAACCCCCCTCCCGCTGCCGGCTCCGCTCCCCAATCACCATCAGTAGGGTGGCCAATACACGCATAAACCCACGACAGACTGCGCCTTCAATTTTAATTGCACCCATATTCACGCCTTCAATTCACGTTTCTCTTCCGCCACCGCTCGCCGACGCTGTTTTTTTTGAACCATCAATTCTGTGATGGACCCGCTGACGCTTCTCCGGGAGTACACAATTCGGAACGCCCTTGACAAGATTGTGCGGGTCAATGACGATTACCGATTCGGCACTGACTACTCCTTTCCGGCTGCAATCGAGACTGCATACCGCTCCAAGCACGGCTCGCGCTATACGCTTGAAACCCTAATCTACTTCATCACCAACTACCACCTGAAGCATGTAGATTACATGCAGAATGCACGCGCCATCCGCATCCCCCCCGTCACGCTCCCTGACCGGAAAGCCCTCCTTGATTACCTTACCGGAAAAATTAAGTCTTCTGACTCCATCCTCCCCCTCGATTTCCCGAATATTCCCCACGTCGCTCCTGTTAATGTAGATCGTAATCTGGAACTTGATGGCAATGAATTTGCTACACTGGATGGTTTAGTGAATGAGAAGAACTCGATAGAACTAATTAGGGCCAGGGAGAAGCCTATCAAAGACAGGCAGGGAATGTTGGTTTCTAAGGGCCGGGATTTTTATAGCGTTTTGACTTCTGCAATGAAACGGGATGAAGAAAGGCAAAGAATGGAGGGGTTGCAGAGGAAGGATAATATTGTTGCAAAGAATAGAATTGAGAGCAGAGGGTTGGGATTAGGAGAAGAGACCACAAAGATGCGGAAGATTGGGGAAGGGGTTCCAATTATTCTGGTTCCCAGTGCATTCTCCACTTTGATCACAATATATAATGTGAAAGAATTTTTGGAGGATGGGGTGTTTATACCAACGGATGTGAAGGTTAAGCAGGTAAAGGGGGGGAAGCCTGATTGCGTGACGGTGCAGAAGAAGTTTAGTAGGGATCGGGTGGTGACAGCATACGAGGTGAGGGACAAGCCATCCGCGCTGAAGAGTGAGGATTGGGATCGTGTGGTTGCGGTTTTTGTTCTCGGAAAGGAGTGGCAGTTCAAGGACTGGCCTTTTAAGGACCATGTCGAGATCTTTAACAAGAGTAAGTTTTGTGCAGGAATTTTATTTTTCGCAATTGAGTTAGTTAAATTTGAATTGGGTTCAGATATCTTATTTACATTGTGGTTTTTGCCACTCACGACTATGCCTTTTGTGGTTATATTCTCACCCTATGAGAATGATTTGGAACATTCGATTGAACCTATTTTATCTTTCTTGGAAGGCTTCAATTGCATTGTTGAAACAACTTTTGTTGCCTCAAAATGAATTTCTATATAGGCAATTATGTTAGAGAAAAGACTAGGGATTTCAGATTAACATTTCTTATAGGAAGTCACGCACTGTTAATTTGACACTGATTATTCTGAGTGATGTGGACACTGATAATTAAAGCCAACTTTGGTATATAATTCATGGTCCTAGTTAATTAGTATATGCAATTTGCTTAAGATTAGCAAATATGATATGCCTGACACGCATAAATACTGGTCTTATGGTGATAGAAATTTATACCACTCAGAAAGGGAATTTTTTCTCACTAATGATGTATACATGGATTTCTATATCAGTTCTTGGGTTTTACATGCGTTTTGAGGATGACAGCGTGGAATCAGCAAAAACTGTGAAGCAGTGGAATGTTAAGATCATTTCGGTCAGCATTTATTTGTTGTTGAGCATGGTTTATATCTGTTTTTCTTTCAAAATTTCTATGTTAGTTAAGTGTTGACCGTGGTTGACCACAGTCCAGCCCTGGACACTGTTTGCTGCGGTCAGGGTAATTAATTTTGATTCCCATCTAGTTGTCTGTTTATTATTCTGTACAGATTAGTAAAAACAAACGGCACCAAGACAGAGCTGCGGCACTTGAGGTGTGGGATAAACTTGAAGAATTTATGCGGTCTCGATCTCGTTGAGGTGAGCCAAAATGTCTTCCAGAGATAGTTTAATTTTTGCTGTGTTTGGGTAAAATATTCCAGTTGTTATTCAAGCTAACAAATTTATGTCCATGGTATGGAGATCCAGAAATGGCAGTCCAGGGATTATTGCATGATATAACATATATTTTAAACCTTTTCCCTTGTTCTGTTTGGTAGATAACTACTTGTTTAAAATGCATATTTAATCCTGAGGATGTATTGTTACTGTACATTATACTTAGCTTTTGTTTGATCTCGATTATTTGAGGAAAAGCGATTTTTTGCTTGAAATTGGTGGGCCCTGAAGAATAAATTACATTTGTTTGGCGGAAAAATAATGACAATGTTGAATTCTTCTTCCATCCCATCAACAAATTGTTGTTTGATTCCCCAAATTACCCCCAACTATAAAGATCTTTCTGCTGATACTCTTTGTAGGGTTATGGCAAAAGAGGGTTGGAAATTTATTGGATTGCCTTTTTGCATAATATTTAATGAGATTTCTCCAAATTCAAAATATCACAATCTGATTTTAATCTGGATCAAACAGGGGCTTATCATTAATATCTCTTTTAGAAATTGCAAGAAAATGGATGCTGACTTTTGACAATTGTGAACTGTACTGATGGAGCTGTGTGCGTTAGACAAGGTTTAAGGTGGTGTTTGAATAAACTAAGGGAGATAAATTATAACTTTTTAGATTACAAGATTGAAAATAAGATATTTTCTTTTTTATTTGACAGAGTTCAATATGTGGTATGCTGGTGATTTGGGTATGGATAAGCAATAACCTTAATGCTGTGTGGAGAAAAAAGTGACCTGTTAAATGACTGCATATTTCATTCTGTTCACCCAGAGACTTATTTTATCTCAAATCTTGAACAATTCTTTGCTTTTGATTTTAGAATTATTTCTCTTGTAACGTATGAGCATTAGTTAGTCATGTATTAAGGTTCAAGAAAGTTGGTTACTTGTAACTGAAGACATTGATACTAATTTAGCAACGAGAAGAGGTAGAGAGGATCCTTTCGGGTGAAGTCGGTTTCCATTGACATGCTACTATGCTGGTGGAGGATCCATAAATTGATGATTTTTAAAGTTTCATGTCCATTGAGTTTGAGTCTCACTCATATAACTTGTTTTGTTCGATGGAATCATTCTTCTTGTTGAGTTTGTTATTTAAGATATTGTTGTTGATCTTGCTTGAGAACAACAATCAAATATTTGTTGCTTGTTAACATCGTTCAGAAATATGTATACATTGCTTTAGACTTGTTGGGTTAGCTTCCTTTTAGAAGGTTTTCTGGTCCATATATCCTTCCATCCTATCTAAAAAGTTATATGGTTAGCACAGTCTAGTTGAGTGTGTAGCCAACATATTGCTCGAAGTCACTCAATTAATGTTGCTACGTGAACTCTTACATATCCACTTTGCGAAAATGGTACCTGCCAGACACAACACGACAAGAATATAGGTGTGGGACTGCCAGGTAAAGGAGAAAAAGACCTTGTAGTCTGATAGAATCCCAGTGTTTGTTTGTAATTTGTGAATGCAAATGAAACAGCAATGAATGGTCATTGACATTTGTATATATGAGAATGGTCTAGCTATAATTGTGAATGCTGAGCAGTAAAGGAATTGCAAGATATTATGTGAGGCTTGACTCTCTCCCAGTTGACACCCCTATTTCTTCCTGCCTCCTAATGAGACTACCTTCCCTTTAATTCTAGCTATAATTTGTATTCGAGAAGTTTCTATATTAACCTCCTCCCATACTAATTGGATAACAAACTATCAGGTTAATACAAGCTAATCAATTTTAAGGATAAATTCTGCTGCACTCTAGCCCACTGTCTAATCCTCGCGCTCTTGTTCACGGCCCAATCATAATCATAGTTGCTGGAGGTTAGATAGACATTGTCACATCAGAAATTGGCTGGTAAATATTGCTTTCCCTAAATACTACGTTACGCATATGTTGGGGGACCTTGGCTGTACTTTTCTCTCTTTTATACTCATTTTTTTGGGCGTTCCTCTCTGCACCATTCTAACCTGTGCATCAAAATAACTTTTTGATGAGGAAAATGTAACAATAACTGTTCTCTTTCCATCAAGATTCCTTATATCTCAGCATTTCTTAAGTTTGTTTCCTTTTGCCTGGATGAGTTCTGTATACTGTCAATTCTATCATGATACACATATTTCTTTTGGTTTTAATTGGTAGAGTTGACATAGATCACTTCTGTTTTTTATTTTAGATTTTGTTTAGCATATTTATCTTCCTCTTATAAGAGGGCATTCAACCAATCTTTTAATTCTTCTTTCTTCTCCATCCTTATATTCTTCCTGTATGCTTCATTTGAGACTAAGGCCCTGTTTGAGGCTTTGAGCCACCTTTTTGTAGAATGAAAATGAAAAATATAGCCGTTATTGGGGCCCACACAAGAGAGAAAATTTGAATTTAAATGTTGATGTGATGTATAACAGTCATATTTTTCATTTTAATGAGATAAAAAGGTGGCCCAAACGGGGCATAAATTTTCTCTGGACTATTGTGACTAAATTTGGATTGTAACTTGTGAAGAAAATTTTCTCTATTCTATCATGATGGTTTTCAATTTAATTGTGACCATGTGTTGTTGGAAACAGAGATCTTACTTCTGTCTTCACATGTATTTTGCATCAACATTTTTTCTTGCTAATGCAGACATTTTTGCCTCTGCCTGCACGACTAAATTGTATTGACATTTTTGCTTTGCTGATGCAAAAGGTGCAGGGGTTGATTGTGACCTTGTGTAATGTGGGCAGTCTTCCGACTGGTAGTGAAGAAGCTATGTGATATTTACCATGTACTATATGCAGAGAGTTGGTTTTGCATATTGAACCGTATTTTCATAGTCTCCCAGATCACGGTAATACTTTTTTTAGAATTATCATGTTGACTTGCTTCATGTACAAACATGGGAAATGCTCATCCTCTTTTGTGTAATTTTGAAGTTTTTCCGGGAAATATTTATTATATTTTTATGATAGTTTTCTTCAGAGTTAATATTAATTTTTTTGGTAACTTATTGGTTAGTTGTCTGTGGTGGCTCGGTGCTGTGTGATAGTTTGAATATTCCATAGTTATACTAAAAGAAATGAATCAACTTTATTATAATAACGGTGCTGTGTGATAGTTTGAATATTCCATAGTTATAACCCTGAGGGGTTGCTCAATTGGTCAGGCCTTGGGTTTGCTCCCCAATGGTCACCAGTTTGAGTCCTCTCAGGGCCACTGAGGTGAGTACTCGGCTGAAAACTTTAGGGTCCCGTGGAATTAGTCGAGGTGCTCGCAAGCTGGCCCGGACATTCACGGTTATAAAAAAATAAAAATAAAAAAAATTCCATAGTTATACTAAAAGAAATGAATCAACTTTATTATAATGAGAAGATGACATAAAGTCTCTTCGACCATACAATATCAGATGGACCTCCAAAAAGGGTCATAATTGAATGAATAATACAATGACTTACCAACTCTAGAGGAATTTCAACTAAGAAATAAGAAAGATTGTATATATAGGACTTAGTGAAAGGCCTGTAGACTTCGTGAAAAATCAGGTGGACATATATGATGCTATGAACAGAAGGGAGAAGAGCAGAGAAGCTCCCAACTTGGTGGAAGTTGCATCAGACGAACCGTCCCCCGTCGTTGGTACAGTTTTTGATCCACCCTCTGCATGATTTTCACCAAACATATTATTTATCGACTCCTTCAAGTCAACGACATAGGAAAACAGAAACACGCATAAATTGTGTACCTGAAGGGTTTGCATTTGGAGAATTTGGCAATGCATCAGGAGAGGCAGCAGGTGAACCAGCAGCATTGCACTGGCTAACAGGGGGAGTCTGAACATTACAAGCCTTAGGCATGGCCATAGCCTGTGTCTGATTTATGTTGAGTCCCAAGGAGGAGCCACCACCATTAAGGACCTGACATAAGCATTGAGGCTGGGACTGAACCACAGAGGCGAGCTGTGTGCAGCATCCTGTCGAGGGGGTTGATGAGTTCCCGGATATGTAATTGAGGCAGGGTGACATACTAATTAGCACATTGTTGCAATCGGTTGATTGTGCAATGGCACCGGTCGAAAACAAGGTAACTAGCATAAGGGCTATGATCATGACCATGTTTTGATGTCCCATTGAATGTGACGAAAATGCCTGTGGAATGAGGAAATGTTTGGTGCTTGATGGGTAGAGTTCTGTTATGTGTTAGATTTATATAGGAAGTTATCCGGGGTGGAGGTGGGGTGGTGTGGGTTACCAACTTCTCCTACTCTTGGAAGTCTTGGAAATTTTGTTAGATATGAAGGGCTTTCAGACCTGGGCTTGTTGTTTAGTTTAATACGAAAAACTTGGGGATTTGAGATAAATGGAGTAGGGTCAAGTAAGTGGGTGGCCTACTTTTTGCCTGACTGAAATGTTCAATGTTTTTAGAATTCTAAAAGTTTCAAGCTATTCAAAGCTCAGACTTATTCAAACATTATCTTTAGAATAATGCATAATTGCACTTATTTGTCCTCAACTCCCCAGAGGTGTAAATTTCGGTTGACAGTCTGGGCTCCGTTGAGGTGGACGTTTTTGCTTTTGTAGAAGATCAATCTGTAAGCACATAAAAGGTTAAAAGAATTGTCGGGGCCACTGGTCTTCCCAATTTGGTGGAGTTGAATTATGAGACTTGCATAGTCGTTGATTAGTCAATAGGTGATTCAGAATTCATGAGTCACGAGACAAAGGAGATCAATCGTCGAAGTCGACATAGTGGTGACATCTTTGGTCGGATCAACATGATAGCTATCTGTCTTCGATCCGTCCATAGCAAATTATTTCGATGCGAATCCTCACATTTTGTTTACTAGCAAGCTCGGTATTAATGCAAGGACCTTTTATGCATCATGTTACACATCTACTCTACTTATTTTGGAATCATTATTTCTTGATATTTTTGGGG